GATGTCTTGGTAGTCTAACCAAACTTCGGTTCTCAATCTAACAACCTTTTCATGCTGACATCTCAGCACGATAAAAAAGCACCTCTCAGGCAACAGACCAAGGAGAGAATGCTTTTGTTGCTGGGAAAAATCGATGATTAGCCCAATTTTAAAACGTAAAGAGGCCATCAAGAGCGCTATCGTTGTGAAGGGTGTAAAAGAAGCAATGATCACAGGCAATTGAAGAGGTAGAAAAACTGCTGTTGATTTGGAGAAAAGAAAAGCAGTGAGCCAGGGACCGCCATTTCCGAGGCGGTGACATATGAACAAGCAAAGATGCTGCGTGCTGACCTGAAAGACACCCCTGGACCGAGTGCTGCGAGTGGCTCCTTTAAGGCCAGTAGGAGGTGGTGCAATAAACGTAAGACAAGAACTGTTTATTTATTTACAGATTATACAGTACATTAGACACGTACTGTATATAAGAAAGGTTAAAACAGGGAATCATTTGAGGGTCTGGAATGGATTTAATTCCCATTATTTCTAATGGGAAAAATGATTCTGTTTTCGAACAAATCGCTTCTCGGACAGCCTTCCTGAACAAATTAAGTTGGAGAACCGAGGTCCCGCTGTAGGAGCTGTTTCCAGTTTGGGACTATTACAAATCAAGCTGCTTTGAACTTTCATGCACAGTCTTTGTACGGGCACCTGCGTTCGTCCTCCACAGTAGATCACCTGGAGTGGAATGGCTGGGTGTATGCTTAATTTTTAAGAAACCACCAAACTTTTCCAAAACGGTTGTACCATTTTACTCTCCCTTTAGCAGTATGTGAGGACCCCAGTGTCTCTGTGTCTCTGCCAACATTTGGTATGGACAGCCTTGTAAATTTTGACATTCTAGTAGCTTCTCCTCTTTTTTCTACCCCCACCCTATTTAGGGAGAGGATAATGAGCAAGAAAATGGCCACATATAAGACGGCAGAGGGAGAAGGTGAGGAAGAGGAGACAAAATCAGCCACACTCCAGGGCAGTGGTTCTCAACCTTCCTAATGCCGAGACCCTTTAATACAGTTCCTCATGTTGTGGCGACCCCCAATTTCATGGTTACAAATCGAACATAATTAAAGCATAGTGATTAATCACAAAAACAATATGTAATTATATATGTGTTTTCCGATGGTCTTAGACGACCCCTGTGAAAGGGTAGTTCGACCCCCAAAGGGGTCGCGACCCACAGGTTGAGAACCGCTGCTCCAGGGCATCAACACAGCCTGATCAAGGGTGAAATGCTTTTCTGAGTCTGTGCCTCTCAACCATCATTTAGATCATTTGATCAACATATTAGCTTACTGCCTCCAGGCCAGGCCCCCAGCATGGGACAAGAGTTCTGCAGGGACCTTGGCTGTGAAGGCTTCTCCCAGGCCCCTGCGGGCCAGGAAAGTGGGGAAGGCAGGGGATCCTGGTTTCCCCACACCCAGTGTGGTAAGAAAAGACAACAGCATTTCTTTGTGCCCTGGGAGGCGAGGCAGGAGTCAGGGGAGAGAGAGGGGAGTTCTAGACCCAGTTTGCACTCATTCCAGGGTAGAAAGGACAGCTTGTCCTGCTGAGGAAGCCATCCTGCCCTGCCCTAAGAGAAGTGTGTCCCCTCTCTTCACTTGGCCCAGAGGTGTCACTATATAAGTACAGGGGTTAAGGAGAATTAAATCACGTTGGGGCTTTCAGGAATTACGAACAAGTACACTGTTACAGTAATAGATTTTTAGTCAAGGCTAAGGCCATCTCTAAAGTCAGATGTACATTCTGAGAGCACATGAAGGTACGTTATGATTCTGAGTTTTACGCACCAAGCATTTATACCCCCAACATGAGCGTGAAAGAAACCCCAACAAATGACAATACCTGTTGCTGCTGGGAAGAACACCCCAAAGACAGTGAAAAAAGACTCCCCGGGGCTGTAATCAGGCAGCGTGTTGTTCTGCAGCAGTTCCGGTGAATATCCAATGAAGCCATGTTCTGAAATACACCGAGAGGAGCCGAATGAGCCAAATGATAAGATGTAGCACAGGCTTCCCCAGACTGTAGTCCCACCCAATGCAGAGAGAGAGAAGGTCCGACAAAGCCATCTTCCTCCCACATCCAGCTGACTTCTGTGTGCCTGTATCTGTAGATGCAGGTGGACGAAATGACATGAAAGGGAACAGCAGTTACCACGGGGGGTGGGAGCATTTTCTTTCTTTCTTTCTTTTTTTTTTTTTTTTTTTTTTTTTTTGCTTGTAGACGTCAGTATACATCTTTCAATGAGCATGTATTTGTGTGTTTGCTTTTAATTTAAAAAATTAAGTTAGCTCCCTGCTCAGAAACCATCCCATGGGTCCCCATTAGCTGCAGAACATAGTCCAAACTCCTTAGGATGAGTGTCAGAACCATCCACAGCCTGGCAACCCCCCACCATCTCCCATTCCTCTTTGCCTCCTTCTTCTCCCCAACAGTCACTTAGACACCTCTTCCCAAGAACCCCACGGACACCCACCCCTGCGGCCCTGCCTTCCAGACCCTTCTCCCACATCCCTGAGCATCAATATTGTGCTCACTCTTCAAGCTCATCTCAAAGGTTGCTCCCCTGGGGTTTACAAGAACTCCCTAATCGGAATCAGTTCCTCCTCCTGAGTGCAGCTGGCAGGATTAGCCACATTAGGTCTTTCCCCAACTGGCCTCCTTGAGGCCACAAGTCCAGTCTTGCACATCCCTGTCTCCCCGAGTCACGCACTGGGCCTGGGTCACAGCAGGTAGGTTGCGAATGTGGGTCACACTGAAAAGACCCTTCCCTCAGATCCCAGCGACGGGCACAGCCCGCTTCCGTGCTTTCGATTTGACTTGTTCACAGGCTGCTTTGTAGAGGGACATCTCAGATTCGATTTCTTCAATGCGTTTGAAAATGTCAAGTACATTGACTTGAATGAAATTTTTCAAGTTTGAATCCTACGGGCACTTTGCTTCTTTTGTCAAAGGAGGTCACTTTGAACAGACTCCGTGGACACATTCGGGGCTGTGGCATTTCAAGGAGAAAAAGGTAACCATTCTTGGGCCAGGGAACACGCAGGCCTCTCCCCGCTGTGCTTCTGAAGCCTGTCTCTGAGAAAGGGGAAGGAATGTTCCCTGCTAAACGAAAGTCAAAGAAGAAGGCCATTCCAGCCCCTCTCGCTCTGCCCCTGCAGTCACAGAGGACAGCCCTGGGCTATGACTCCACAGCCGACCCCTAGGCCCGGGTGACAGGACCTCCTGCCCGCCCCCCACCTGCCTCGGGGCTTAGCCTCACCCCGAGCATCCACCCACCAAACGCGCCAGCTCCCTGGTGAGGCCTGTGAGGTCGCCAGCGCTTCTCACAGCTTCCAAGACTCATAACTTCATAGGAAAAATATTTTCAAAAAAACAATAAAACGAAAGCTCAGTGAAGCACAAGGGGCCCTTGGGAGTCCGGTCGGGATGCAAAATCGTCGTCGACGGCTCTCTTTTCTGAACACAGATTCTGTCCTGGGACATTCGATCCCAGGAACTGGGCAACATTTCTGAATGGTTTGGCATCTTCACAGCTGGTCCTCCCCTCATTAACAAAAAAGCGATAATGGCGAAGTGAACTTCAGTTTATCCGCTGGCTGACCCTGTGACTAGCCTTTCTGAGGAGAAAACCAGTCCAGCCTGCCTTGGAACGGAGCTCAGCCAAGCTGGGAGGATGCTCAGGTCTGAAAGCGCAACTGAATGTGCACCGGGCAGGCCAGCGGTGAGGACATAAACACTTCATCAGGCTCCGTGGATCGCCGCCATCGCTAAGGGGCCCTGACGGGCAGGTGTGTGGTCACCAGGCCTGAAGGGCTTTGCCGGGGTCAGCCTGAAGGGTCCAAGTGATTGCAGGCCCCATAGGTGAGTCACTGGGAAGCCTTTCCTCTCCCTCCACCCCACCAACAAGGCCACCGATGAGAGGATGAGTCACTTGGCTCCCGAGGGGGGCTGGGAGGAGCTGCCTCGGCCCCTTCTCCTGGGACAGCCCTCACACATTCCCCAGCAGACTCACGCCCACCCTGCTGTCCAGCCTCTTCTCCCAGGTCCAGTTCTGCACCTCTCTCAAGGGAATAACCTTACATTTGAGAAGACCTTTATGGACCAAGCTGCTTGGCAATGCTTTGTTTCTAATATTGTAAAATGGGTCTACATGTCTAACGATAAGGGTTTTTAGTGCCATAGAAAACTATCCATGTTCTACATATGTTAAGAAAACTAGATACCATTTATAGTATAAATACTCAGAGAAGTTTCCATTTATGCATGTAAAGAGTAGAAGCAAATATACCAGAACAATAACAGTGGCTGTCTGTATAATGCAATTAGGGGCAATTTTTTTCTCTCATTTTTTTATGTCTGCACATTTTCCATGTTGTTTTTAATGAGCATAATCGACTTACCATCAAAATATATCTTTCAGAAAAACAAACAGAACATCCCATAATGGAAAGCCCACTTTCTCCAGACAGCTTTTCTATAAACAAGGATCTTTTCTTCCTTTTCATCTCTACTCCCCCTACTTCTCAAAATGATTTCGGCGGTTTATGAGAAAAACATACGTACAACAAGGATCCAAAGAAAAAAAATGAGAGAGAGAGGCCCCAGCCACACCTGCACGGCACACAGCCTGAGGGCTCTGAACAAGGCTCCGAGGCCAGATCCCGCAGTCATCTCCCTCCAACCAGAATTCGAGGCCCAGAGAAAGCATCTTATGAGCTTTCTGACCAAGCAGGACTGACCCCAGGACCCACCCCTCACATGTGCCACTTTCCAGTGGATGAGGAGGAGCCCCAGAGGTTTGCATGGTGGACCTGCCTCATTTCTCTGCCCCCACTTCCCCAGGCCTTGGTGACCAGCCCTCACCCCAACTCCTGGGACCTGGGTCTCTCCCACACGCTGAACCTGGTCCAGCTGGACCCTGAGCTCATGCAGGGCAGGTGCGCAGGGCAGGCACTGGTGTCCCTGGCTGGCGTGCGTTGCTAAGGAGTGAGGTTAGCTGGCTGCGCTGACACCTGGGGCCAACCTCTTATAGCGGGTCTTCATGACCGACTTTCTGATGCCCAGACCAAAGGTACCGATTCTTCTGCCATGGCCTGTTTGAGATTCTGATGAAAGCTGTGGCCCCTCTCCCCACAGACAACACACTCTGCAAACCAGTTGGGGCTCTCAGGCCTCCGAAGACGTTCTGGGAGGCTTCGGCCCCGAGGTTCAGGACCTGCACACCAGGGGCTGCCTCTGCACTTGAAACTGTTCTGCCAGGCCCTGCAGGCACCTATGACATCCCCAGCCCTGCCTGTCACCACTCCCTGCCAAGGAGCAGACAGTGGCTCTGAGTGACACAGCCAACTATGTTCTATACCGCAGGCCTGCCAGACTGCGCCGAGTCCCCCCATGCACAGGCATCGTGCAGGGTCCCCCAGAGCAACCCGTCCTCTGAGAATAATAAGCTTACTGAGTACCTCAAACATGCCAGTCGCTGGGTAGTAAGTCCTTTACAAGGTCAACCTTGATCTTCACAATTGCCCTGCAAGCTCGAAGGTGAGGAAACCAGGCTCAGGAAGGTAGGGAATCTTGTCCAAGGTCACAGAGCCAGACCTGCCTGGATTACAGCTACGGCGTCTCCTCCAGGCCAGGCCCCAGTCTTGCACACCTCCCACACAGAGAGATGTGTGCGGCACAGGCTTCCTTCAACCTCACGAGACTCCCCCGGAGCTCCCAGCATCCCCCTCTCTCCATCTGTGGGTCGGCAGGGGGCCCACCTGTGGAATGCCACCAGCTGAAGCGGGTGGGTAGCTGGGGCTTGCACCGCTGGGAGGAGGCAGAGCCCAGCCTGGACCCCAGGTCTGTCTGAATTCAACGTGTTCCATCAGCCACACCGTTTCTCGGTAATTCGTCCCAGAAGTGTTTCCCCAGAGATTTCTAAAAATTGTCCCGTTGCCTCTGTAAGCCTTGTGTCTCCTCTTCTGGCAAACCAGGGGAGGCGGGCTGGGGTTCTCTCAACAGCTTCCAAATCTGAAAGGCCTGGGATGCCCAGGGTCCACAGCTGTTGCATGTGAATGTATCTGGGTTTGACCTGAACATCTGTTTCTATATCCATAGAAAAAATACTTTGGTTCCATTTGAGCTGTGTTTTTAGAAAGAACAAAGAAAACAAAGCACGCCAAAACCCAGGCAAGAACAGGCAGGGGGAGGACGCTCACAGGTCTGTCTGCAGAAAGGCTGGTGAGCTGTGCTTCTCTGGGCCCACTGTCTGATCAGAGGGGTGCTCACGGGACCCCACCCACCGTGCCTTGGCCAAAGGTGGCCAGCCTTGGTCACAAGTAGTGTGGTGGCTGCTAGGAAGCTCTCTGTGGCACCTATGGTTCCCCCACACCTGCCCCTGCCCCTGCCTCTACCCCTGCCCCTGCTGCAATGAGAAGAGGCAGTCCAGAAGTCATCAGCCCCCACATGTGGATGTCAGATTGCAACCACTGACTAACTGAGAAATGGAGATTTCTAAAAATGACGCTGGGCACTCCGGCCACCACCCCACTGTGAGCCGTGGGCTTCCAGCGGGGGAGGGGGGCTTTTCGGCACTGGCTTTTCTTCTTGGCTCCCATCCCCAACCCCTCAACCAAGGAAGAAAGACCTTTTCTTGGCAATGGACATGGAAGGAGGCTGGCCCAACCCGGAATGGAAAGAGTGAGGAAGGCCCCGG